GTTCGAAGCTAGTGATGCAATCAGAGGAACAAAATAAAGCAGTCCCATGCTCCTCTTCAATGTTCCTCTTTCAAAAAAAAAAAAAAAAAAAAGCCTCCAGCCCGTGAGCGACTTACATCCCTACCCTACCCTAGAGTCTAAGCCATGCATGAGCAGACCCCATCATGTACCTGATAGACCCCCCCAGGCAAGTATTATAGTTGTCTGTATATGTGTGCCGAGAGGCTATGTATTTTTTGTATGAGCCCGTAGACTGTGTGTATGTTCACAAGCCATGCTTTTAGTCTGAGTTCCACCTAGCCTTGGGTAAGTAAGGGGAAGGACGGTAGGATGTGTCCGTGGGCCCCATCTTGCCTTGCCTAGGTACTCGCTGCTGGGTAGACTCTCGGATATTAGCCCTGTAGAAGATTGCATGAGCCTGGCGTCCGAACTTCCCTTACTGCAAGGTTCATCTCCTTCCGCTTCCATTTGGGCTGGGGGGTTGCCCAGCCTTGGTGCTTGTCACTGCTGTCTGGTCCAAGTTGCCTTCTATACTGGTAGGGTGATGGACCAGGTCCAGAGTGCTGGTCACACTGAGGTAGGATAGTAGGGATAGGGGGTGCGCTGGGAGTATTAACGTGGGGAAGGGTAGGGAAGGTGGCCTATCCTGTGACGACAACCATTGGCTGCTGCTGCCAGCGATCACCGTGGGTCTAGTCCTTGGCCTCTACAAAAAAAAATAAAAAATTGGATCCAGCCCTTGAGCCTAAGTGACCTCCCGAGCCACCCTTGAGATTTTGGCTGTTTTGGCTGGGCCGCACTTGAGTTTCACGGGAAGACCCATTTATTTATTTATTTATTATTATTATTATTATTATTATTAATATTTTAAGGGGACAAGGCTCATGGGGAGCAGCACGTGCTGGGAACCGGGCCCAGTGTCCCATATGGAAATTTAGTATTTACATAGAGTTTGAAAGTTTAAAATACTGGGCGATTACCGGGCTAAATTAAATGTGAAAACATTTCGGACTTCCAAATTGTCGTAATTAGGGAGGGGTGGAACGATGCTTCCTTGAAATTCAAGTATTTTCAAGTGATGTCGAACTATTCACACACACACACACACACACACACACACACACA